AGCACGCGCGCACGCACGCACACACACACACACACACACACACACACACACTTCAGTTTCTGCAACATGGCAAAATTCTTAAAACTAGAAATTATGTGTGAAAGGAGACTAAAGAGCCAGAAAAGAACATGCTTCCATCCACACTGGTTAAATCTTCCAAGAAACAAAGATAAGAAACAAAATGAAAAATCCATTTCTTTTAGAAAATGAGTCTTTAACCTGTGGGTTGGTCTATTTTGAAAAGGAATTAGATTCTGGGTCCACAAATCACACATTCAAAATACAATGCCATGGTCTCATCTCCCACTGAATATGTTGCTATGATGTTTGAGCAGAGGGATCATTTAACAAGAAGCATCCTCGGGAAGGGACAATCTAACTCAGACATTAATAAATAATTTATCAGAAATAGGACTAGTGGTATGAAATGCCAGAAGGCTGTTTCATTTATAGGGTGGCATTTTCTATTTTAAGCCTCAAACAATGCAGTCAGTTTTATTCAGCAAGCTAAAATGAATAGAGGCAAAGCTGAACGAGAGGACAAGTTGTATGGTCTCCTCTAATAATACTATTTCTTTAGCATCAGTTATTTAGGGCTAACATACTACTATCTGGGGACTTGAAAAAGGGACAAGAAAGAGATTTTTATAACTTTTGTACTTCACCCCAAAGTTTTGGGACTAGAAATGTAATCATGTAAGGCTAAGAGAAATGATTTGCATAAAGGTGTAAAGGTACATTCTCTCTCAGCACTAAAAACTCTCAGGCTTTGCACCTTACTAAGTCATCTCCAACTTAACCTACTAGTTAGCAGCCTCTATTATTTCACCCCTCAAGAACTTAGCATCCTCCAAGAACTTAGCACAGTGCCATTCACAAAGTGGAGTATCAATGAACACCTGTTGAATGAATGAACAAATACAGCCAAGTATGAAATAACTCCAAATACACTCTGTAGCCTATTAGTCAGATAGTACAATGAGGAGGCACTTGCACTGCATATGCCTCAACTTCCTTATTCTGATGATGATTAGAAATCCCTCCCCTTCACTGTCTTACATCAAATTCAAGGACTCGTGCTCCATCCAGGGAGCTGGGGAAATGGAATTAAAGAAAAGCAGATTTACCATAGACTGAATCATTCATAGCTCCCAGCCCCTAAAGAAGCTGAAAGTCCTAACTAAACCTGTAAACTTAGAAATGAAGACCTCCGAGACTTAGTTTACATTTGAAATGTTTATATGCATATATATTTTCAGATAATTAGTTTTTAACTGATTATTTATCAAGAACTGGATAAAGAAATAGAACATACAATTATAATAACAACAGCTATGATTATCTAGTACCTATTATGCTTAAATATTTCATTGCTACTTTTTGTTTTGTTTTGTTCATTGCTACTCTTTAGAAGTATTATTATGCACATTTTAGAGAATATAAAATACTAAAGCTCAGAGTAGTTAGATCCAAAGACTATAAAGGTAATCAAGGAGAATCAAGGCTAAAAGCCAGCTCTTCTAAACTACAAACCCACTCATTTCCTGATGCCAAGTGACCTCTATTCAAATGGAATTATCTGTCAATGGAGTCACATTTAAAGACAGACACATTAAACACATCTATAATTATGATCTAATGAAGACAGGATATATTAACCCTAAATGCCTGAATACATGCTTAAGAATGGCAAAAGGAAAGAAAGAAAAGAAAGAAAGAAAGAAAGAAAGAAAGAAAGAAAGAGAGAGAGAGAGAGAGAGAGAGAGAAAGAAAGAAGAAAGAAAGAAAGAAAGAAAGAAAGAAAGAAAGAAAGAAAGAAAGAAAGAAAGAAAGAAAAAGAAAGAAAAAGAAAGAAAAAGAAAGAAAGAAAAGAAAAGAAAGAAAGAAAGAAAGAAAGAAAGAAAGAAAGAAAGAAAGAAAGAAAGAAAGAAAGAAAGAAAGAAAGAGAAAAAAGAAAATAAAAAAACAGGCAGCACTTTTGATAAGAGATAAAGAGACATCTGACGCCCAGGTAACTGCTGACTTTCATAAAACAGAGGTAGGAAGCGACAGTATTGTACCTCTGAAAATGCCGTATTTCACTGTCAAGACTACAAACCTAAGTACACATCTGGAACAATACCTGTGTCCTCCAATAATCAAACCCACACTGATACTCAATGAACCATGGACAGTGCTTAGAATGGGTCAAAAAAGGACACAGAGGACTACTCCAGAGTGAGCAGGACCATGGCAATTCTTCTTGAACAAAGGTCTTGGGGAGTGGTCAAGTTTAAAAGGAATCCTCACAAAGAATAGTTTTTAAAAGGCAGACTTTAAAAAAACCATCAAAGTCAGTACTCAAAGAATTGTCTTTACATAGACTTTGTGATTAGCAACGTTAGTTACAGGTGAGACCCACCCTTGAAGAACAGTCACCACCACCGAGAGCTTCACCGCAAAAACTCAGCACATGTAGATTCTGATAGAACTCACTGCAGGGCACAATATGTTTTCATTTTCTACCTATAGTCCCTCTTTGTCCCTTGACATCCTGTACAAGGATACTTTGGGTGTCAACACGATCTAGACTTTCCTATAGCTTTCATGTTTCTCTTTTGTCTATACAATTGTTGATGGGACAAATTTAGCTAATGGATATTGTACTGTCAGTTCTGCCATGATGCTTGTCTTGAAAACACAATTCTTTTATTGATGTCTAATCGACCTAATCAATCAACACTGACTGATATATGAAGAGAATAATTTGAACATAATGTAAAATTTTCATGTTTATGCACAATTTTGTCCCCCAAACTCTAGATGAATGTAGAAAACGCACCTAGCTACACTAAGCCCTGTAGAAATACACAACACACACAGAACTACATACCACAGGAGCACAGTGGGCCTCACTTGTCCACATTGGGTGCCGCTACTTCCTATATATTTCAGATTACCCTCCTTCCACTTCATAATTGCTTGTAGGCTATGCTTTTGCCATGCTTTTGAAGGCCATCCTGGTGGGTGTCCTCCATTCTACTTAATTGTCCCCTTTTTCCTCTCAGCTTATTTGCAATTTTCCTATTTTCTGTTCTTTGTAAAAATTTCAAACTATCTTTTTTTTTTCTCTTATTCTTTTTCTTTTGCACAAAGAGTGGCAGGCATGTGAGTAGGAGTAGATGTAATTGCACACACATTTCCACAAGTAAACTTCAGGTCTTTTTCAAGATAAAGTGTCATAGTTATTGTAGTTTTATATATTTCTTAACCACTCTATATGGATAAAATTGGGCTATTGTTTTCAATAGGTCCCTATCATTTTGCGTGGTCGCTGATGAAGTTTTTGAGTGTTGAGCTCCAACTCTGTTTTCTTATTATTCTGTGATTTTAGATTTTACAGAGTGCAAATATTTTTTAGGAATGCATATATCACATTATAGCAGAATAAACTATGTACTGAAATTTATTAGTGATGACGTTTTCACTACTGAAGCTTCAAGTTTCTTCCTCAGTGTTTTTCACGCTAGTTTGCAAGTTAGGTTAAACGCATTAGCTCGCACTGTCTCAAATTATAATCCTTTGTTTGAAATTCACTATATCTTTAAACATTATAATCTAGACCAGGGGTCCCAACCACCGGTCTGTGGCCTGTTAGGACGGGGCCACTCAGCAGGAGGTGAGTGGCAGGCCAGAGGGCAAAGCTTCATCTGTATTTACAGCTGCTCTCCAGCACTAGCATCATTGCTTCAGCTCTACCCCAGGTCATCAGGCATTAGATTCTCATAGGAGCATCGGTCCCCGATGCCAAAAGGGTTGAGAACCGCTATCCAGTTTAATTTAGTTCCCTTTCTCTGTTCAGAAAATTTTGGAGAATTCTATCTACATCATTTTGCATATTAATGCTTTCGCCACAAAATCTGATCTGTAATATTTACTCAGTTGTTAATAACAAACAGCATATTTTCTGCAGTGACTTTTTTGAGGCTTCATGGTAGATAGTAAAAAGAGAAAAAAAGAATTCGTGTTCATATGCCCTAGTCACGATTACGTAGGTCATATAGTTTTATCTAAACTTATTGACTTAATCAAACACAAGCTGAGAAATTTTTCCCGAAAGAAAAATGCAGGCTGGAAACAATATATAAGTGGGCACAACACCTCTCTTTGGAACTTCTGTGATCTCAAACTAAAACATGTAAATAAAAATTCAAATGATAGTATCTAAATGACAGCATTACCCTAGAAGAGCTTTGCAATAAAAGGAAAAAAAGTTAATGTGATCTAGAGATTAGAAATATCTACTAATCTTTTAAAGAATCTAGTTCATCATGAGCAAGAAATACCACTCCCATTTACTTTCTGAAGAATGTTAAGACAGTCTATGTTATCAAATAGCTGTGCATTTTTATTTGCTTTCACAAAATCTAGTGTACTAACTGGAAAGTGTACCTGTGGCTAAATGGGTTTCTATGGCTCTTGACTGTGGAGATAAGAAACATAATGTGTTCCATGTGCGGCAAACCTTCTAAGTATTTCAGGTACATCAGTGGAAAATATAATCACTACAGAGAAGAAGAAAGAGACTTTAAGCATAGTATGCAATCAAATTTGTTGAATTTGACAGAGTAAAGTTAACTCTTTTAGGGGATACTTTGTTTTGTCTTTCCCTTTAGCATCTGTATCCCTAAACAAAGTGGTCACAGGTCAATAATCTCTTGAAGGGCAACATCCCCAGTACCCTCAAGATTTTGGAATGCTAGGTCATTCCCCTGAGATCTCATTTTCATTCTTTCTCTCTCTCCCTCTCTCTCTCTTTCAATCTACAACTATTCTTACAATGTGGACCGTCCCTTTTTGATTATCTAGAAGCTTCAGTGGAAAGATACTTGTTTATCTTGAAAAAATTAGGAATCATTTGTTACCAAGCATTTCTAAGAAGAAAATTTCTTCCCTCAGCAAAAGCAGAAAGCAAAACTCCTTGGCAGCCAGGCACCAGCCACCGCACGCTTGGGCCTTACTTGTTCTCGTTGCTTGCATCATAACGAGGCATTGGATCCAAGTCATTCCCATTCACGTCACAACTGGCCAGAGCATCCTATGGCCAGAGGAGAGATGGAGAGAAAAGAGACAGACGGTCATTAATTAGCCATTAACCTGAAGGCTCATACATTCTTAAACACATTTCTGCAAGAGAGTAATTAGATTAAATAATACATTCGTGGTTCAGTGGTGTCAGGATGCCTTGTTCAGTAATAACCGGTATCATTTTTTTCTCTCTTAAGATGAAGAAATATTCTCCACACACCAAAGAAATGCCCAGTCTATTCTAGCCAACACTCTTCCTCTCTGACCAAAAACTGGCCCCTCACCCAATTTCTTCAAATATGCCCTCAATTACTACCTTTTCTGTGAAGTACTCCTGGACTACCTAGAAGCAAAGTGATTTATTCTCCGTGGACTCTCTATCTTCATTCCTTGAGCATGTAAATTCCTTATCATAATTCAAAGATTTTTTATTACAAAAATCATTCACAAGTAATTGGCAGGCCAATTAAAAGTCAGTATTAGAAATTCATTATATCAGGTATCTTAAGATCTCTATTAGGCAATATTGTCTGGTTTCAGATGTCTTATCTATTATAAAAGAGTCTACAATTCAGACTTTCTGCTAATACCCAATGGTCTTGTGCACCAATCAAAATAATGAACAAATTTCTATCGTATGTCAAGGTTTCAAAATGAGGCAAAAATATCTCTGAAACCAAATTTATGTCACTATAGATAGAACTCTTCTTTCTAAAAATAATTTATGTCACGTAGGGTCTGAATTGTTTAAGGGGAATTAAACAAAATACGCATTACATACAAAGGTGGTAAGTCCCTGATTCCTGTACAAAGGGGGCCATGTAGCCCCCCTTAGCAGTCATTAAAGAATGAAGGGAGTATATAGCTAGTATAACTTACTAATTTTATGTATAAAGAAACAGAGGCCCTAGATGGGTTAAGTAACTTGGTCAAAGGCATGAAACGAACTGTCTGTGGAACTAAGACTGGAACCCAGGTCAACCGACACCCCATCCAATGTGCTTTTCTCTACTCTTCACAGCTCTGACATTAGGAAAACTGAGAGGGCACCAGTACTGCTAATTACACAAGTAAATTCTAGAGTTTTCTTTCAAGGAGGAAAAAATGATAAAAATCAAGAAAGCGATCACAATTAAGTTAAAGCTATTTGTAGTTTATCAAATACGTTCCAATGCAGTGGAGAGCAGGAACACACTATAAAAATCACATTGTATATGACAAGAAAGACTTCTTTGCTAGGAGACAGGTGGCTGGAGTTCTATATAGGACCTGGGTTAACTCATTTTAGTCTTCAGGCCTCAGTTTCTAACCTGTGAAATGAGGAGACTGAACTGAAGTTCCGTTTTAGCTGTAAAATTCTATGTCGTGAAGAGACACAAGTTTGTCTGGGTGTGCTTGGAGGAAGGAGGAGAGCAGCCATTCAAATGTTTTGTTCAAATGAGAACAAAATGATTTTGCCGTTTCTTTCTTTCTTTTAACCTTAGGGAAAATCATCTAATTTAGGGAAAATTGTTTCAATATTTCGTTGTAGAAAATTAACTTGTAAAGTTTCTTGGATGAATTTTTGAAACAAAAAGGGCTGCGGGTAGAATATGGAGAGGAGAAGTAGCTGAATATGTAAGTTGATACTGGGTGTTCTTGTGTGAGGGGAGGTTTTCATAGGTCAGAAAAATGGGCGACTGTGGGAGGCAGTGGTAGTTTCCACTGAAGTACCAAGGAAGTGATTTGGAAGTATTGTATTTGCAAAGATAAAATGGAGTCTTTTCAAATTTGAGCGACAAAAAAGAAAATTAATTTAAGAGAAATTAAATGTCATAAAGTAAGTGAGATTGAGCAAATGAGAAAGAAACACCGGAGAGAATATATGGTGATTTCTACCTAAATACTTTCACGAGTAAGGGAAAGGCCAGAGGAGAGATGGTCAGAGAAACACACAGTGATTCCCACTATGCAGAGAAACCAAGCCTTCCCATCCCCCATCCACTATGAGAGAGTCGAAACAACATTCTTCAGGGCCATTGCCATGTCCACCAGTTATGGAAGAGCACACAGGAGGGAGAGGCAGCGGTCATTCTGAGATGGCAAGTCCTTTGTGCTGATGTGCAGAGGGAACCTAGAGGCAGGGCCTATCTCAGAATTCTCTGCCAGCTCAGGGCACAGTGAGATGGGTTGGGCTTGCTGAAGTCATTCCCTTAATGACCATAAACTGGAACACAGAAGAGAAAAATCTGAGAAGTGGTCCTCCCAGTTATGGCCCAGGATTCTCTGTGGGACTTTTTCATAAACACGAGGCAATCCTTCCCGCCCTGGCCTATGACTGTCCTCCTTAAGGGTCAATATGAGTCCTGTAAAGGGAAATGGACTTCACCATGGTTTAGAGCTGCTTTTATCTTCAAGGATAAGAGGAGAAACTTGTCAGCTGATAGAAAATCACCAATTATAGGAGAATTTTTTTTCAATACAAACATGAAATTTAGGAAAACCCATGCAGCCAAACTTTTGTCATTAAAAGGATTCATGAAAAAATAGATGTTGGTAAAAGCAAAGTGGATATGTAGTGATATCAGTGTCCGTACATGGAAACAGCTGTCAACAGAAAAGAGGTGAGAGAAGAAATCAGAAGACACTAGGAGTTTCTGCTGAGCCCTGACAGGAATCAGAGAGTTGTTATTTGCAGATAATAGGGAGTCATTGCAGGCTCTTTGGTAACAAAAGAAATATTTTATGGAGAACACCAGGTATCAGGAAACGTGAATCTGGAACAGATAGAGAATGGCACACTGGGAGACAATTATGGCACTTTTCACCAAACTTAAGGAGGGGAGGCTGATGGAAGGGATAATTCTGGAGAGCAGAAGACAGAGGGGTCATGACGCATTGCCAGGCAGTGAATATCATGGCGGTAGAGGGGACTGGAGGCCCATGGGGCAAAATACAGCCCCAGTGTCTGAGAACTGGCTACCCACCCCCCTCCTCCAACACACCACGGTTGCACTGGGTATCAAAACCAGAGTTTTCAATGAAAGTACTGAGTTTCAGCACTTTTGCTTGCTCTGTGACCTTGTGCTCATCTTATGTTCTTCACGAGTCCTGGAATTGTGGTTCCTTCTTAAGAATTCACTGATTCCTAAGGACTACTGGGAGGCTGATCATTAGTGTCCTTTAAAAAAAGGAGAGGCAAAGAGAGAAAGAAACCAGCAGAATAACTTGAGAAACATTCTAAGTATACTTTTCTCCATAAAAGAAACAGAGTGCTGCCTGGCTTGTGGATGAGCTGTTGAGAAAAGTGGTTGTTTTGGGTAGCAGGTGGTGCTGGTGGTGGGGTTTCTGCTACCGTATCATCGGCTTTTTGTGGTCAAAACATCAAAGGCACTTGAAAGTTGAAAGCATTATCTCATGCCTTCTGTACTCTGAGAGTGCATCTCTTACAAGACGGGAGCAATATACAGACTACCGTATGTGTTTGCTGCATTTTTCTGTAATTCTCCCCCTTTTTGATAATCCTACAATGTATTCCCTTGCTTCCAAGGAGAGAAGGTGTTTCAAACGCAGCAAACACTCACATAGTTTTGCATCAGATCCGGATGGGTTCTCTCAATGCCATCGTCCAGGATGGTGACCACGATGTTCTTTCCCGTGTAACCTCTCTTCCAGGCTCCTTCAATATTCATGTCTGATTGGCAGGGATGCGTGTTGTCACTGCAGTGCTAAAAGAAAAAGAGGGAGAATTGGACATTGCAGATTACCGAATAGTAAGGAAAAGAGAAAATTACCTACTTTTTAATACATTAAAAATTAACAGAAATTTGGTAGATTGCCTGTTAAAGTAGCAGCACAGATCTCGAGCATGATAACAGGAGAAGGCAGACAGGATAGATGTGGGGACAGCAAGTGAAACAGAAATCTCTTCTGCCTTCTAATGCCATGGATCTTTTGAAAAAACATGATAAAATATATTTCAACAGCAGAATAATGAACATATTATTTTTATTGTTAGCATGATTAATGGCACAGAAAATGGCATTGTAGCATTTCATTTACAAATCCACACGAGGTTATCGAAGAACATCTACTTTATAATTTCTTAACCAGCCACCTAGAAGCCAATCCAGCTATAAATGAGGACTAATTCTGGCAGGTTTTATACAGTGTCAGCCAGAGAAGTATGCTACTGTGAGAAACCCATGGACGAGAAAAAATAAGATTTTTTTTCAATCTTCTTTCAATGAAGTAACAATGGCTGTTGTACTACAGTTTGCAGGGGGTAGACACTCATTAGGCATTTTTTTGAGATAGGAAAGAAGAATAATGCAAAGTCTAGAAAGGTGACATACACAGGAAAATGTGTATGAGGGCTTCAAGGGGTGGGCAGCAGAAACCTTAGCTCATTATGTGCTATAATTTCATTCTACAATGGCTACAACATACAAACGTATCAAGAAATAAATTCATCAGCAGCTCTTCCTGATATAATTTACTAGCATTCACCTAACCCACACAATTATTCCTTCAAAGTTCATCTCTTTGAAATATCCCTCTGAGTGGTATTGCTTTTCAGCTTCTTAAGACTTAGCAGAGGAACAAAGGAAAAGAGATGTACTGTAACATAATACCATAGCAACACAAGCCACCCTAGGTCTTTCATCATTCACTATTTTCTTCCTGCTTCGTAACAATTCAGTACTTTGGACACAAGCTTTGTATGCTCTAAGCATAATGGAGACCCAACGGCCATTGATTCATCAAACACATACTTTATTGAGCACCTACTACATGGCAGTGAACAGGCAGATGAGGTCCCTGTCCTAAGGACCCCTCTACAGGGGAGACACAAACAAACTAACAAACAAGACCATTCAGAGAACTCCTTATGTTTTAAAGGAATTAAAGAGGGTGACAGGATGGTTAATGTTGATAGGATGGTTAATCCTTCTTTAGGTAGGATGATCAGAAAAAGACCCCAGTCTCTGCGAAAGTGAAGTATGAGCTGAGACATAGCTGATGAGAAAGAGCTGGTCTGCCCAGGAGCCTAGAGATCGGTGACTTGGTAGAGGACACAGCAAACTACAGCAAATACGAGGTCTTTAAGGTGGAAAACAACTTAGCACACTGAAGAAAGAGAAGAAGGTGGGATATTGCTGAGGTTTAGTAAATGAGGGAGAGAATGGCATGGAAGGCAGCAAATTAAAAGGGAAGGAGAGGTCAGATCATCCAGGGCTTTGTAGTAATGACTTGGCTTTCATATGAAGTATAATCTAAATGGAAGCTCATCTCTTTCCAAACTTCATCCTTCAAAATCAAATGCTAACTAGTGACAGGTACCTCTAATTGCCACTGCGACATGAATTCATTAATTTTTTTTCCAAATGAGACTGCCTTTGCTGAATGTTATAAACATACTTGAGTAGTTTCAAGGACTCATTCTTATAGAGTATATCCATTTTTCACATGTAATATCAATTTTATAGACAATAGGGACTTATATACTTTATGAACATTTGCATCTTTTTCTCACCTTTCTGACTTCCTTCTGGCACTTGAGGCCCTACATACATTCACCCTACTACTAGACTGATCCAAATTCTACTCTCACCGCCTCTCCCCAATTTTCCAGGCACAGTTTAGGCCCTATCTCCTCCCACAAAACCTTCTCAACTATCTCATCCCCTTCCTTGAACCTAGGAGTATGCGCACACACAAACACACACACTATTCTACACAATCCAATCCCTACTCACTGAATTCTCCTAAACAGTTGATGACTATTGAATCCTGTGTGTGAATTTTGTCTTCTTGATTGTAATTCCTTAGAAGACTACGCATTAAACCAAGTAGGATTTAAACTAGGATTTCAGTCAGTATTGGCTGATTGATTATATGCTAGAAATGAGGGCATATCTTCAACTTTATGTCCAACTTCATAACTGCCATTATGCTTACTGCTGCAACCTCATTAGAAATATCTAGCCAGCTAATGCCTGGTTAATGGAGATAATCACAAAAGAAATAGTGTAGATTCCCAAAATGTCCACATTTTTCAGAAGTATGACTCTGGCTGAGAATTCAGGCCTCTCCTCACTAAGTACTTTAATTTAACACAAAGCAACCTTGACAGGTTTCTATTTCATTTTTTCTATTTCCAAACCTGCTCTGGCCACCTGTGATATCGTTTGTGACATGAAGTAATATTAATGTGGCCAAGAGGTGGGCTGGAGGAAGGAAATGCATAGGAAATGGGTAACCCACAAATGGGATAGCTGTCCTGGAGTAAAGAGATGCTGCCTGAAATTGTAATTATGAATATTGAAGAAAACCAGCCATCTATGGAAAACATATGTGTTAAAAGTAGAGCAATTAGGTTTCTTCCTTCCACTTTTGCTTCTGGTGAATCTGACTTTACCATTAAATATATCTACACCACCTTTTTCTTTTTCTTTTCATTTGCCAACATGGTATTGGTAAAAGAGGAAGGAGGGGTTGATATCCGAGTGATACTTTCATTTTGATAATCTAATGTGGTGAGTAACCAAAAGACCAAAGGAAAAATAAGATATTCAGAACCTGAGCTTTTTTTTTTTTTGCAAATGAATAATAAGGTCAGAGGACCCTTTAATCACAACCTTAAATCCTGAATATAAATCTTAGATTTTTAATACATATTTCAAGTGGTCTAGGTTTCAAAGATGATTTTAGTATAGTTGTTTCATAAACCCAATGTATGCAAGAAGCAAAGACTATGGAAAATACTGATGTCAGTCAACACTGACCAAAAAGGAGAATGGATTAATTATTTCCTCAATTGCCTGACTGAAGTGGTCTATAAACTGGGCTCTATTTACTCAACAGGAATCTCTATAATGGCATCACCCATTGGCAAAGGGAACACACATTAGCCATAATTTCCTCATACACAGTCAACCATGTTGAAAAGATCTCTGCCAGAGCTGTGACTGAAGACTAGTTTCTGGAATTGTGTTACCACGTACATAGTCCATACACTCGTATTCATAGAAGGGGCTTGCCAGAAACTTCCATCACCTTTGAAGCTGATGAAAAACACATATGTTCACAGTTTAGACAAGATAAATATTTATAGTAAATGTATGTACCTTCAGTTCTGAATGATGTACTGTATTTCAACGATGGTCTGTGTTAGATGACTAAGTATTGAGAGGGGACATAAAATGGAAAATACCTGCAGAAATGATGGATACCACCTAGGCCTCCCACTTCCTAATCTATAAAAGCTTGTATTTTTTTCAGTAATGGAATTTTAGAGAGATTGTGCTTTTCCATACCAAGGTTATGAGCTATTCCGCTTATAAACTATTCAGGGTGTGTCCACTTCTCGAGTCTTCATAAACACATCACTGTTTGCTCAATGAAAGAACAGTTTACACCCCAAATAAACACCTTTGTTATATTATCACCATCAATTTCTTTAGACTGGAAGGGAACCCTCAATATCATTCTTTTTAAACTTCTCCAAGTTCTGAGGGTCTCTGATGAACTGGCAATTTATATGCTACCAATAGCCTGCTAATATTGAAAACATATGTTGTTCACTGTTATTAATACAGTGGCTCATAAGACTGCATCTCTATCAGCAATGTTAATAAGAAAGCAGAATTAAATACATGAAAAATACGTTTTACAGATAGATTCAGGAATAATTTAGTCAACTTAGTAAAGTGTATATTTACTTGAAATTCTTTGTAAAATTTGGAGTTCAGAAGTCGAAGGAATTTTAAAAAATAGAATTGATACTCCCTTAAGTGGAAATATAACTGACATCTTTACCATGGCTAAGCATTGTACTAATAACTTTATATAGACTAGCTTCATTTAAGATTCAGAAGTATTTGAGAGATGTATTTTTATCATTTGCTTTTAACAGATAAAGAAATAAATTTTTTGTTTGTTGTTTTGTTTGTTGCTTTTTTGCAGGTGGTAGGCACATGATGGAGAATACAGATGTTATATTATAGGTTGTATACCTGAAATGTATTTAATGTTATTAACCAATATTTAATTTAAAAAAAGAAAATGAGACTTAATCAACCTAGGTAACCTTCCAGAGTACAAACAGCTGGTCAACAGTCAAATTAGGATTCAAAGTCAAGCAGTCTGACCCCAGACCATACAGCTATAGAAACTCTTCTGTTAAAAGTTGAAACAGAAAGGGCTTAAAGGAGGGCAAAATACATGCAAATTCAGATAAGGAATAGATAAGGGGTGGATGTTGGACAATACACACCAGTAAAAAAAATTCAAATAACAGAAATTTCACTGGCTTTACCACTATTATCAGTGCATTCAAGTGATAAGGTGGAATACTCTTGGATAAGACTTTAGATACCTTCTAATTTTTCCTTATTCCATTTATTGCAACACATCTTTTAGGAAATCACCGAGTTTCTATTTGAAAAGTTTCAATGACAGGGAGCTTACTTCTATACTAACTAGCCAATGATGTGTTGGTAAACCAGTTCTTTAAAAAGAAATCCCTTATTTACAGTGTTTGCTAATTTCCATGGTGTAAATACTCATGGCCAGTTTTAAACTACCACGCTCACAAAATTCAGGAATGTGTAACAATAAGCTTTCATGAGCTGTTAGAAGGCGGATCCAGCATACCACTGGAAACAGCTCACTCCATTGTTAGTCTTGCTCCATTTCTGATGAAGTCATCTCTTCCAATGGGTCT